GGAGAGAGGTACAACTGAGGAGGTTCCCACTCCTAAACCTAAGAAATCCAAGCCTTCTACCAAGAAGTCTTCAGAATCTATCTCTGTTGAACCCTCCCTGGCAAAAAGAACCAGGTCTGCAGTTAAAGGAAAACAAGTAAAAGTTCCTGAAGAAGAAGAAGCTTGGAGTGGAGAAGAAGAAGAAGAGGAAACTGAGAAAGAGCGGGACAGGTTTGTCCGTTTTGGAAAAAGAAAAATATTGAAAGGAAGAATTCTGAAAGACCTGGAGGAGCCAGGCATGAAAAGACTGGTTGATGCACTGGAAGCACAGGGTTGGAAGGACATGGTTCTTCAACTGGATGGCAGACTTGCAAGAAAAGAACTGATAGAGTTTATGGCAAATGCCACAGTGGTGAATGGGGTTGTTACAAGCTTGGTGAGAGGAGTAGAGGTGCAGTTTGATGCACCTAAGTTGGGAAGAATTCTAGACATACCCTGTGAGGGATATGATGATTATACTAGGCAAAGGTGGCCTTGTCTAGATTCTCTCCCTTCTGCTCTCCAAATTCCTCGGAATTTTTGTGATACCAAGTCTGCTGAAGAAGTGCCTGAGGCTAGATTTGTGCAAAAGAGTGAAATGAAGCCTGAGCACAAGGTACTTTTTGAGTTTGTGAACAAGTGTTTGCTGCCCAGACAGGAGAGAAGGCACACTGCAAATTATATGGACCTGGTCCTTCTTGAGTGTCTTGTGAGAGGAAAGCAGATTAATTGGCCTGCTTTCATTGTCAAGCTGCTGGATAGAATCATCAATTGCTCTAAGTCCCATGCAACACCTTATGGGTTTATACTGACAACTGTCTTGGCCAAGTTAGATGTGTCATTGAAAAGGTGGGAGATGGCCTCCAGCAAAGAGCACTTTGGAATCAAAACTCTGCAGGCTTGTGATTATCTGCTAAGTGTAACCCCAGTTGAACCTGGTTCATCCGTGAAGACTCCTGTGAACAGCAAAGTTAGGGCATTGGTTCTAGAATGTGGCACAAAAGATGCAGAAATTGCTAGGCTCCAGGCTCGCATTGCTGAACTAGAAAGTGAAAGAAATGGTCTCAAAGATGAGCTAGCAAAGGAAAAAGAAAAGAGTGAAGGGATGCTCCAAACAATACTCAATCTCCTTCAATCCCAACCCTCTAGTTCCTCCAAGTCCTAGAACCAGTTTAGAAACCCCTTCAGTGACCCAGATTCGGGACTTCTCTCTGTTTTTTTGCTCATGGTTGGATGTTTGTTTTTCTTTTTGTGGTCTGTTTTGTATAAACACCCCTAATCAATGAAAATATGCTTTGTTTTCTCTTGTTATATGATACTTCTGATCTAAATAGTCAAATTTTTTGTGAAGTTGATTATTGATTAACTATATCATGTTTTCACTTGCAGTTGCCCCAATGGCCATGAGTATTAATTAACATCTGGGATTCATATAATATGCAACTTTTCGATGATGCCAAAAGGAGGAAGAGATATTGAGTTTTACTTTGTATTCTGAAATAGTGATATTTATAACCTGATTAAACCTGGTCCTTAATGATAAGTTAAATTAAAGTGTGAAAATTAAGCTGAGTTCCACAGGGTCTCTGATCAATAAAAGCACAGAGTTTGTCATCATCAAAAAGGGGGAATTTGTTGGCCCAAGTTCAGATGAAGTTTTGAAGATTGACAAAATGAACTCAACCATGAAACAGGTCCATCATGTGAGACATACACAATGTTGATATATTTATTCATGTGACAGACGTGTCAAGATAAGTCTCAAGGGTCAGCAACAATCAGTAACAATATCTTCAGAGTTGATCGAAAAGGTTGCATAGGATAAGGAGTTGAAGTCTCCTTATGTAAAGAAAACTACATCCGGATCAAGGATAAGGATTGGAGTTTGAAGTGTACTAGGACTCGAATTTGATGAAGGATCAGCAATTCGATTTTTAATCAAACTCTGATTACTAACTCTATAAATAATAAAGATTGTTCTCTTTTACAGGTGATTGCACATACGCAGAAGTTAAACTGAATTGAGAGCAAAAGAGCTAGGCGATTTTGCAAGCAATTTGAGTGTGATCCAAGTGTGCAAATCTGAAGCTACATGAACCAAGAGTGAAGAACCAATTCCATTGTGTCTTTCTTTATTTTTAGTTCAATTGTAGTAGGTGTTTTTCATATTGTACCTTTCAGCTTTATCTAGAAGCAATTGTAATAGGTATATTGAGTATTCAAGTTAGAGTTAACTTGAAGGTGTTGCAACAGTTGAGGCTATGTGCCACACTGGGATTAGAGTTTAATCCTTAGGTTTACAAGAGTTTGTAAATGCTGTTTTTGGCTCAGTGATTTTAGTGGAAGTTTGGGAAAATCCTACTGAGTAGTAGGTCGTGATTTTTTCACCTTTTGAGCCAGGTGTTTTCCACGTAAAAATCTCTGTGTTCTTTACTTTATGCACTCTTAATTCCGCAAATAGTCATAGTAAGTACATCTAGAAGAACCGGGTTTTTCTAGTGCGAAAATTAGGTACTACACAAATCAACCCCCCTTCTTGTGTGGTATTGACGTTTAGAACATCAATTGAACACAGTGGTGGTGTTATAAAGTCTTTTGCTATGTACAAGCTACGGGGATAGCCTATAGAAAATTCATTTGTATGTTCTGTTGATGATGCTACTACTCAAATTGAGGAACAATACCTTATTGATCAGCTGAGGTCTTTTCGGAGTGGAAGGGCTCTTGAGCTATGTGAGTTACATCATGCTTTAACTTTCACGTCGATGTTATGGTTTAATGAAACGGTTGTCATTAGAGATGAACCTCTACAGTGTGTTGCTGCAATTACAAAGAATCCTTCAATAGGGATTAATTCTACATTCTCTATTCCCTATGACCTAGCCATGTTTGATACACAAAGTTTTAGATGATTGTCGGAATCAATTACTGGCTGGACACTCCAAAAAGGTCTATCCTCAACATGGACTCGAGCTTGCTCAACGCTTGGAGGAGTTGCCTTGTACTCTTTCTACTAGCAATTGTGACAAATTTATTAACATAAGTACATTCGACTCCTATAACACATTTGGTGATGATGCACTTCTTATAACTTCATGTCAAGTTTTCCTTGATCAATTTGGAATAGATTTTCCATTTGACCCTGGACCTAGTTTGCTTACCACATCTCTTATAGTCACAAGAAATTGTGGATTTTGTGATGCTTTGGGCAATTTAAAGCCTAATAGGTTCAAGCGATCAACCTTGGGGACCTCATGCATTACACTCTTGACAATTCACTGTAGTTATACTGTTGATGCATATGAAGGAGTAACAGCAAAGAGGCAGGCAAAAACATTCTAATAGAAGTTGCTATTGGTGGTCTAGATTCTGATTATGCTATTAATGATGGAACTCTTAGGAAACTTGGACATATGCATATGTGCAGCGTCTCTTTTAGGACTATTACCAAGTTGATTTTTGTTTCTTCTATCCTAATCTATTATGACACAAGGAAGGAGGTGGAATGTACTATCATAAGCATCGATTTGACGGTTCCATGTGGTGTCATGAATGAAGTTTTACAACTTTCAAGTGGACTGGTGGTTTCCACTACTGTGCTGGTTAGATTAGTGAAAGATTTCACTATAGAATATTATGACACCACCCAACATCACATGACAACGCATCCTGCAGGCGCAATCGAGAGATTTAGTAGAGAGCGAGCTTTTAATACGGTTTTTCAGAACTTCAAGGGGGATAACTCTAGCGTCGTCGGGTCCGAACATATTAAGGGGTGTTGTCTGTATTGTAGAGCTCTCCAAATTCCTTTTGATCCTAGCAGTGCTTTTTGATGGAGTTTTCGGCATCCACTTATTCGAGGCTATTCCTTACATTGTGGCGTATTGCGTGAATATTTCTCTTGGCAGAGAAGGAAGTGACTCTATTACGACCATGATGGATGTCACTATGGACTCCTTTCCACTAGTGCAAGCTAACACGGTTGCTCTTTCCTTTTCATCAGGAAATGATGCTGAAGAGGAATGGACAGCAAAGGCCATTGCAGATATTATCACCATTTTGATAAGCTATCTGAGGATGTTTGCTTTTGTATGCATTACATTGGCTGGCAATCCATGCTTATCCTCTTTTTATAATTCATTATTGTTTAATGCTTGGACTGATTGGGAAGTTTACAACAACTTGGTGGAAGAATTTCAAGTGCCACAAAAAGTCAGTTTCCACTTCATTATGTTCATGCTTTCGTGGAGGTTCGCTACTAGAATGTTTGCCTTGGTTCTCTCATTTAGCTTACGGCTAACTGCTTCTACAAAAGGGCAAGCAAAGACATGTAAATTTACATGGTAAGTTATGATGGCACTCCAATTAATACATCTGGTGTTATCCATTAAGAGCCACAATTACCAAAGTTTTAATAGGCTCATAACAGGTGTATCATATCATATATTTTCCTAAAGTCATAAAAACATGCCTTGGTTTTGATATAATTGGTTGGGAGCTCGCGAGCATCACTATTCTTGACTCGAACCTTGAGGACAAGGTTCTTATTGAGGACGGGAGTATTGTTATGAACCGGCACCAGCCCAATCTCACACAAGTAGCTATTGGGCTGAAAAGAACTATTGGACCGAGTACAAGCAATAGGCCAGGTTAATTTGGGATCCAGGTTAAGTAATAGGCGTAAAAATTATTCTATTATAAGGGACAATGGTCCCTGATTTGGGGTTATGTGAGAGAACTGTCTGAATCCTCTCCTCCCCAATTCTGATTCTAGCTTCTCATCCCCTTCTTTGGATCTATTCTATCTTACTTAGCTTCTGCATTTTTGTATTTCCATTACTGTCGTTCTACTTCGTTGAGTTGTAATCGTTAGATACTACTATCAATATAATTTGTATTTTGGAGTTGTTATATCTGATGCATCATCTTCCGCTTCAGCTCCTTTTGCTTCTTCAGTAATTGGAATTAGGAATGGGTCCAAAACTATATGCTAATACCTTGAACCATAAGAAGTACATCAGTCAAGTGAAGGATGGGTTGTAAATTTCTCTCCGGCCGCAGTAAACAAAGCTTATAACTTGCCAACTTTTGTTGGAAGTTGGAACTGATGACGAATACCAGGCTATACAAAAGGCACCAATGCCTCACTTATAGATGTAGTTTCAAGGCATTTGCATAGAATTCTCGGACCTATTCCTTGTTTCCCTTTGTTGGGATGTGAGTGAAAGTCACCCTTTAAATAATCAGGATCTCGTACATTTGAGGGAAAAGTACAGCAAGGGTCGTCATGTTGCCCTTGTAGCACTCAACAGCTTTTCTTGAGACAAGATGGCGCAAATCAAACCTCTTATGGGCATTTTCCTCTACAGCTTTGCCCTAGCCTTTATAAATGGAAGACAATTGCTTCTTTTTGTTGGCACGAATAAATTACACATTCAAGAACCTGCAAATCAAAAGGAATCGACTTAGTATACATACATAGGAGGTCCCACATTAAATTTAGAATTAAACAATCCCGAAAGCTAGGAGGTAATTACAGGTATGTTTAACTGCACAAACTAATAAATTTCAGCAGCCATGGCAGTTATTTAAAATATGTGCAGTATATTCATGCGTCATTATCCATAGGCAGTCAGTATAGTAACACAACAGAAATCAGTGGACATCATTCAGTAGGTGTATTAGGCGGCGTAAGTGCAGAGAAACAACTAAAATTACAGCAGGCAGTCACTTGGGCCTTTCATCAAATAGGTTATGCGCACATTCGCCCTCACTGCCATTTCTACAATTATATCCCATCAACGCTACCACAAATTCTGCAAACGTAAAATCACTTACTTACAACCAAAGTCTTATTTGAACATTTCGATTTGATGCATTATGATCACAAAGGCGATTATATCACTAGAGAAGTTAAGAAATTATACTAAGTTCTAATTAAGACAAGTAAAAACTTGTGTAATAAATAAAAAGTAACAGATTCGTACCAACTAATAAGGACTGGGTAAGCTTCAGTCACATATCAACAAAGGGGAACAAGGAGTAGGTGAGAGAATTCTACGCGAATGCCCTTCAGTTGGTCTGGATAGATGTAACTCCAAGTCATTTGCGTAGAATTCTCGCCCTATTCCTCGTTTCTTTGAAATTAAAGAGGGTTGCTTCCTTTTATTGGCTCAAGTAGGGTTGACAAAACTGGCCAAGAAAACTTGACCGCCCAAAAATTAACGGGTTGGGAGAACTATCTAATATGAGCAATGCCCAAGCTAACTCGTTATAAAACTAGTAGCCCAAACTTGACTCGCGAATTATCGACAGAAATGACACCAAGCAGCCACTTTAAGGGTTACTATTTAAGAATTAGCTAGTGTATCCTGAATTTCAATTTTTAAGTTAATTTTTCAGTTTGTTCTGAATTGTCCTGAAGTTAAGATTCTTTTAGTTTAAAATTTTATGACAAAATAAGTACCGGCTAATCTCTAAATAGCAACCCTGAAAATGGCTATATGTGCACTTGCCCCGAATTATCATCAGCTTACCCATGCTTGGGGGATGCATAGATATACCCGCTTTTGGGGGCACAGTTGAAGTCAATACACATTTTGTACAAAAATTATAAAATTTGTCCACTTCGGAACACACTTCAGAATTCGCATTTGATCGCTTTAGAATTCGCATATGAAGTTAAAAATTTAGAGTTTCGGAGCAGATCTGAAACTCTTCTATCGCTTAAAAGTGCAACTTCAAAATAAGATCTGAAATTCTTTCTCTTCAATCCAACTCTTAAATCGAATATCTGAAATTCTCCTATCCCTTAAATGGAACTTCATAATTGAATCTAAAGTTCTTCATTCTCCTAAGTGCAACTTCAGAATAAGGGATTCTAAAGTTTTTTTATTCTTCAATACAACTTCATAATCGAAGAACCAAATCTGAAGTCTACAAGTACCAACTCGAATAGTTTGAATCTCAGTTTTACGCTAGAGCTTACAAGTAAAGATAAAATCCAGTAAGTTGACGGAGTTGTAATGTTAAATGATGGGGACAACATAAAAGGAATGGAAAAGCCTTTTGGAACGAAATTCATCGCTTCAATTATTAACAACTTTTCATATGTTTAAAAATATTAAAGAAAAGACCGAGAGGTAATAATTGAAAGTGCAAATTGAAGATCATTTGTTCTAGATTAAAAGTAGAAGAATAGAAAGTCATCTTCAAATTTTTCAGTTGATGTGGCAAAATGGAGAATAAAAATCATCGTGTAGCTTTTGGTTTGTACTAATCTTCGTGCAACTTTTACTACAACCAATTATGATTGTTAAGTTGGAAGACCATCCCTCACTTGAAGAACAAAAAAATCTGGAGTAATTAAATGTGAATGTTACGAAAAAACAATAAAACCGGTAAAATTGATATCGAGTGTTTATTAATATATCCATGAAAAAAGACTGAAATAACTATTTTGGTTATAAAAAAATAGTGTTATTATAAATTTATTAGTTATTATAATATAAAATTTATTAGCTAATGAATGTAGGTGTTGCCAAATGACAAGTTGGCAGGTTGGGATATGGTAAGTTGGTGGATGAAAGAAATGTTAAAACTTGGTGTTAAAATCCATAATCCATAATACTCCATTTGAAATAGGAAATGCAAGTTCCAACTTCAAAGAAGAAGCTTGTTTCTGTTTCCTAGACCCGTATCAGTCAGTATCTGAATTCTCAAAAAGAAACATGAGGATTCTCAATCATCTATGTAGGGACATTCTATCTCAGTCACAAGGTTGCTTTAACACCAAGATCAAGCATCGCTTCTCGCAAATTGAATTTTTCAGTACAGTCCAATGATTATATATGTTGTCTTTTGGTTTGTATAGGTGCATACCATGTCCGAAGAATAATATTGACTCAGCTGCTCAAGTATGTGAAGAGCATTCCACAATTATTATAGCTCTTTGGCAACTCACGACCTTGCCCTGATATTCTCAATTTGAGCGCTCGGACTCTCCAAAAATATTGCCAAGTGCATGTAGGATCCTCCAAAAGGTAAACTATTAATCACATCATGATAATTGATACATATTGTTTCTTCTCTAGTCTCAGATTCCTCTATGATGGAGATATGTGCTATTTCCAACTTCCAACTTGATAGTTTATACGAGGCCACCAACTGTATAGAGACCTGGTCCTATATCAGTTCCCTCAGTGCTAACTACTGAAACAGTATACAAATAAGACACATGATTTTTACGTGGAAAAATACCAACTCAAGGGGACAAAAACATCAACTTCACTAACTTGTAACTACACTATTACAAGCCACTTTGTAATGACTCTATTACAAAGACTTCAATCATTCTAACTTGTAATACACTTATCACAAGCCACTTTGTCACTCACTAGTTACAAAGACTTCAACCTATGACTAACTCTAGTCACAATACAAACTCAGATGGTTTATGATTTTGAATTTCCTAAAACAAAGCTTCTAAGAAAGCAAGATAGGAGTTACAATGAACAACAAAAAACAAGATTACAACTTAATTAAGGACACATATAGACTCATAGTGAAACTGGTCCGTAATGGAGTTGTCTTCTTGTTCTTGACACACTTGTGACTTCAATGCTGGATCAGATCTTCAATGCTTGAGAGAATATCACTAAATGCTCAAGTAAATATATTGTTGCCTTACACCATGTTATTTCAAAAGACATCCCAAGGATGATGTCTATTCTTGGTTGGTACACGCCTCTACCCAATGGGAACTGACTGCTGCACTGTAGCGTGCACAGTTGCAGGCAGTCACTTTCTACAGTTGCTTTCCAGCTGTAGAGTTGACTTGTACTTCTGTCAGGGAAACACCAAGGGATCAGGTCCGTAAAGCGGTTCTTGTGAATCCAAAGGCACACTCCCCAGATTATCTTGAGTCCATTGCTGAATGATTGTACCAGGCATGCATCAGGTTCTTTATTTGGTTCTATACAGAAAGTTTGTTAGATCATCAAAACATAAGATTAAGAGACCTTAAGCCCTCCCCCTTTTTGATAATGAAAAACTTTTAAAATTGAGGACTGTTTATAGAGCTTAACTTAACCAGATAAAGTACCGGTAACCTCATATGTTCCCCCTGACTCTATGCTTCCCCCGTAATCACCAGCTTTAATTTTTCAAGTTAACCAACTCTTCCCCCTTTTGGCATCATTAAAAAATGCACAATCAGGCAAAAAAGCATAAAGAAGTCTAACACAGTTGACTGATGCCACATATGTGCACACAACATGATAGAAAAGAGAAGCAAAAGGAAAATAAGTATTGTACTAGCAAAAGAAGAGTTGTTTCATTGATAATAATTTTTGCAAAAACTATATTGGATTGTTTCAACGAGAGCAGTAACGGTGGAATCCAACATGCCAACACAAAAAAAAAATAACAGCCACAAACCATCAGAACATAAGACAACTTGTCACTGAGAGGATCCTAGGGGGCACTAGAAGAGGGAGGCTTGGAGGAGGAGGCAATGGTTTTGAGAACCAGGTCCATGCAGGCATTTGCAGACATCTGTTCCTCAAGAAGTTTCTCCCGCAGATTCTCCACTTGGTGCCTAAGTTCGGTATTCTCCTTAGTCAAGCGGGCAACTTCTTCATGAGAAGAATTAAGAGAACCAGGTGCCCCAACAGCTTGACTGAGCTGAGTTTCCAGTATGGAATTCTGAGCCTTCAACCTTCTGATTTCTTCATAGCAGCATTCTGAGCATTTATCAGCTGAGAAATTGTCGAAGTGCTTCCCCCAACCTTTTCTACACACTCACACTCTTCTAGAGTTGTTTTGGAGAAGGTTTGCTATAACGACCCGACTGTCGTTTTTAGAATTTATGCCCCGATCCCCTATTAACTGCTTTCCTTGTATTTATTTCTGCTATTTTGAATTGCCGGGATGTTTGGTTTTGAGTTTCGGAGAGTTTTGGGACACTTAGTCCCTAAATGAGAGCTTAAGTGTTGAAAATTTGACTGTAGTTAGAACAGTATGAAGACGACCTCGGAATGGAATTCCGATGGTTCCGTTAGCTCTGTTGGGTGATTTCGGGCGTAGGGGCGTGTTCGGATTGTGTTTTGGAGGTCCCTAACCAATTTAGGCTTGAAATGCCGAAAGATGGATTTTTAAAGTTTCCCGTTTGATAGTGAGATTTTGACCCGAGGGTCGGAATGAAATTTCGGAAGTTGGAGTAGCTCCGTAATGTTGAATGTGATGTGTGCGCAAAATTTCAGGTCATTTCGGACGAGGTTTGGTAGACTTTTTGATCGAACGCGTAAATTTTGAGTTTTTGAAGTTCTTAGGTTTGAATTTGATGTTAAATTGGTGTTTCGATGTTGTTTTAGGTGTTTTAAGGATTGGTATAAGTTTGGGCAGTGGTATTAGACTTGTTTGTATTTTTGGTTGAGGTCCCGGGGGCCTCGGAATGATTTCGGATGGTTGACGGAAGGATTTTGAGGTTTGGAGTTGCAGCTTTAGCTGCTGGTTTCCTGTCATAACCGCACCTGCGAGTTTGGGGCCGCAAGTGTGGCACCGCAGAAGCGTCTATGTGGCCGCAGAAGCGATTTTGGCCCAGAGCTCCAGGCGCTGCAAGTGTGTCTGGGTTTCGCAAATGTGGTGCCGCAGATGCGGCTAAGAGACCGCAGATGCGGCCCAGTCCGTTAAGTGACTTTTCGCACCTGCGATGTATTTTCCGCAGGTGCGGGACCGCAGGTGCTCTCCCTCGACCGCAGATGCAGTTTTAGTGGACAGAAAAGGGGGCAGAATCGAGGGTTTGTTCAAAAACTTAGAAAAATTAATTTGGGAGCTCGGGATTGGCGATTTTGAAAGGGATTTTCACTTGGGTGTTTTGGGTAAGTGATTCTTACTCATTTTTGATTGTTTCCCCCGAATCTATGCTTAAATTTATCATTAAATTTCGGATTAGAGATGGAAATTGAGGAAAAAATTTGGAGAAGGTTCTTAGACCTAGAATTCGAATTTTTATGGGGAATTTGACCTTGGATTTTGATAATTTTGGTATGCATGAACTCGTGAGAGTATAAGGATTCTAAAAATATAAATTTTACCTGATTCCGAGACGTGGGCCCAAGGGGCATTTTGGTCATTTCATCTAA